ATTTATTAATTATATATTTTATTCATGACTTACTCATAAAGATGATGTTCTCTAAACTCCAAATGTATGGCTTTTCATATTAGATTGAACCATATGAACATTGCTAACTTTCCACCATTTTTTTACCTATAGAAATGGCAGTGTTGGAGCACCTGGGTGGCTCAGCCAGTTAAGCGTGTGCCTTTGGCTCAGGTCATGATCCCAGGGTCCTGGGATTGAGTCCTGCATGGGCTTCTTGTTCAGTGGGGAGCCTGCTTCTCCCTCTCCCTCTGCCTGCTGCTACCCCAGCTTGTACTCGCTTGCGCTCTCTCTCTCTGTCAAATAAATAAATAAAATCTTTAAAAAAAGAAATGGCAGTGTCATATGGCTCAACATAATAGTTTTCTTTTTTAACTGAATTTCATTTTGGTCAAGGAACAAAACTAGATAAATCCTTTGAAAGTTTTAAAACTGCTTGCGTCGGCAGCACATAGACTAAAATTGAAAGCTTTAAGACTACCTGTATATTATAGGAAGAGAGCTAGTTTTTGTAAACATTCCACGTATGCTTGAAAAGATATGTGTATTCTCCATTTATTGAACGTAGTGTTTGTGTTTTAGGTGAAGCTTGTTCATTTTACTATTCAAATCTTTATATCTTTTTTTTTTTTTTACCACTAATCTCTGCATCACTGACAGTATGTTAAAGTGTTTGACACTGATGGTGATTTGTCTATTTCTCCTTTAATTTTGTTAGCTTTGATGAGACTGTGAGTGTGCACAACTTCAGAATCTTTATATCTTCCTAGTGAACTGAACCTTATATCCTAATGTAGTTGCCTTTCATAATGCCTTTTGTTTTAAAATGTGTGAAATCAGAGGCACCTGGGTGGCTCAGTCGGTTAAGTGTCCGACTCTTGATTTCAGCTCAGGTCTTGATCTCACGGTTGTGAGTTCAAGCCCCATCCACACCCAGTGTGGAGCCTACATTTAAAAAAAAAATTTGTGAAATCAAACAATTTTGGTTAATATTTGTTTGGTGTATCATTTTTATTTTTGAGATTCAGTCTTTCTGGTTTTTTTTTAAAGATTTTATTTATTTATTAGAGCACAAGCAGGGGGAGAGGGAGAGGGAGAAGCAGGCTCCCCACTGAACAGAGAGCCTGATGCAGAGCTCTGTCCTAGGACCCTGGGATCATGAACTGAGCCAAAAGCAGATGCATAACAGACTGAGCCACCTAGGTGCCCTTCTTTTGGTTTTAAATGCATCTCATGAAAGAGCATAGAGTTGGAATTATCTTAACTTGTCAGTCTTTGCTTTTAAACTGTAGAGTTTAATCCATTTATCTGTATATTCTTTGTGATTATTGATACCAATATTTTCTACTGTCTTGCACTGTGCTTTTTATTTTACCTGCTTCTGTTTGTTTTCCCTGCTTATTTTCTTACTTTTGGGATAATTGAGGTTTTTTTTTTTTATTCCATTTTTTCTTCTAGACTGTTGAGTTAAACCTGCTGAGTCCATTCCTTTAATGGTCACCCTAGCTATCTTATTAGGCACACTTAAAGTCAAGAGCTAATCAACATCTCTATTCCCTCCTGCAAGAATATAAGGAACATAAAACTGCAATCACCTCCCTCCAAATTTATGTGTTTTTATTATTCAGTATTAGGATTCTAGCTTGCTTTTCCATCTCACAAATTAGATACTATTATTACCATTTTATATGATCAAGGTTCACTTAGTTTTACCCATTTGATTTTTGTTCACTCTACTTTTTTAACATTTCAAAATGTTGCACAAATTCCCATTTCCTGGAATACTGAGAATTTAGTGATGATCTTTTGATGGGTAAACTCTCTCAGGTCTTTACTTAAAAATGTCTTTATCGTTTCAAGTTTTTTAAAATATTTATTTATTTGACAGAGGGAGAGACAGCGAGAGAGGGAACACAAGCAGGGGGAGTTGACGGGGAGGGAGAAGCAGGCTTCCTGCTGAGCAGGGAGCCCGATGTGGGGCTCGATCCCAGGACACTGGGATCATGACCTGAGCCGAAGGCAGATGCTGAGCAACTGAGCCACCCAGGTGCCCCCCTTCTTTTAAATTTTTTTAAAAGTTTTCATAAGGAAATTTTCAAGCACATGAGAATAGAACAATATAGTGAATCCTTATGTCATCAACACTCAGCTTTGATAATTATCAATATTTTACCTAACTTGATCATCATAGCCTGACCGTCTAATACGCTATCCACATGTGGCTATTTATGCTAAAATTTCAAGGAGAACTGTTACAGATTAAGAGACTAATGAGGCAATCCTATTAATTAAAAACGTTTAACAGGAAGTTTTTAGCATTATCACAATACCTTACCTCATCCCTCTAAATGAACAGTATTTCTCGATATTTTCAGTGGTCTTTGGCTAAACAAATTGGGCCACACATATAGTTCCACAAGTTGGGTTTATCACTCCTTGCAGCAAGGCAGAATGCACAGCATTGTGCACCGTGGGGCCTGTCAGAGGGTGTGGGCTTGTGCCAGGTGCTTTTGGGGGAGGGTTCTGGTCTGTGATTGGGTTTATCAGTAAAGCTTACCTAGAAGGAAGGAAAACTACACCAAGGGGGAAGCTGTAAGTGATTTCTAAAGAAGCAGCAGTGGCACACGTTGCCCAGAAAGGGGGATGTTTGTTCATTTTTGCGGCCTAGATAATGTTTATGTATTGTTTGTGTTCAGACATGATTACAGAATGGCCGTGGTTTTGTCTTAGTACGTCATGGTCACAGAGCAGCCCTGTCTGCTGTTGCCATTCTGTGAAGTTGCTTATGTTCAACGGGAGAATGCACGCACCTAGCTGACAGTACCAGGGCAGCTCCTGGATGTCGGGCTGCTTTTCTCTTTACCAGTATCATCTAATACCCAGTCTGTGTTCAGTTCCCCCAAAATGTCTCAAAATGTGTTTTTACAGTTGGTATTGTCTGAATCAAAGGCCCACATGCTGCAGTGGGCTGTTATGTCTCTTGACCAGTCTCTTTGCCGGTAGTAGCCCTCCCTCTCTGTCCCCCAGACTGGGTTTGGTTGTTTATAGCTTCATGATGTCCTTTTAACTTGTCCCTCAGTTTCTCCTCTTCCCCCCTTCTATAAATTGCTAATTACACGAAAGGATTTGTCAGGGTTTTTTTTGCAAAACTACTTCACAATTGGTGCTGTTTCTTCTTACAGCATATCAGAACTTCCCTGCGATCCAGATACCTACTTTGTGATGTTAAGATTTATGAGTTGGTTCCAGTGTCGGCTTGATCCTTCCTTTATAAAGTTCTCCCTCTTGTTTATACAGTCTTCATTTGCCCCCTGGTTAATAAGAGTCCTTATTAATTACAAAAGGAAAAAATGATTACTTAGTAGAAGAACCTGTGGCATGCCACCTTAACCGCTTGATTAAAGTTACCACCAGTAACGAGACAGACTGGATCATATGCCTCCTGAAGTGGCTCACTGAGAAGGACACACATCAGCTGTGTAATCCTTCCAAAAAATGAACTTTCTGAATCTAATCATGAGAAAACACCAGACAAGCCAAAATTGAGGTGGAGTCTGTCAGACATCTGACCTGGACTCTTCATATCTTGAAAGATGAAAGGCTGAAGGACAGGTCAAAGGTCAAAGAAGAGTAAAGAACCATGGTTTGAGGGCATGGTCCCATATGAGAAATTTACAGAGTGATTGCTATAAAGGACATTATTGGACCAGTAGTGAAATTCTGCATATGGAGTGTATGTTACATAGTAATATTAAATTCATGTTAAACAGTCCTGATTTTGCTCGTTGTGGTTATGTTAGAAAATGTTGAAGTTCCTGCGTCACTCTGAAGTATATAGGAGGAAAGGTTCATGACATATTCTGTTTCCCTGTGAATAGATTCTTAACATTCTTGCTGAAGGAGAGAGGGAACACGGGTAGAGAGAGAAAGCAAATTTTAAAGGTGAAGAGTCTGTGGAAGTTCATATTCACACCATTCTTCTTTTCTTTCAGTGTGAAAGTTTTTTCAAAATTAAAAGTTAAAAGTGAACATCCCCATTCACTTTCCATCTAATGATTTAGTAGCTGTTAATTGTCGTTGCCATGATCCATTAATTTACTAGTGCTTGCAAAATGGTGACTTTCTGACTAGCATTTTCTTTATAATAAATGAAGCTTCTTATAAAGCTTGTATGATTCTTCTGTAAAGAAGAGCTTTGCCTCATCACAACAGTTTGGCAATCATAAAATATTGTTCACAAAGGAGAGAGGGATATTTTCTTGATTCTTTCCTTTTAGAATTTTCAGAATTATGAGTTGATACCCTGGCCTCCTCCAGTACGGACCATTAGGGTTTTTTTTTTTTAATATCGTTATGAACTCATGATTTTGCTTTAGATTTGATGATTTCAACACACTGCAGTCATTATTTATTAAATTGTTCCATCTTAAGCCAGGGGGAGCTCTTTTTTTAAGTTTTCTCCTGTATCTTTTTGACACAACCCCATTAGCTTTTGCTGGGTTTCTTGCTTTCTGCTATATGATGTTCCAGACGCACCTTGAACATTTTGTGTTCTACACTGGACTCAGCTGTTTCTCAAATGAGCCCTGGTTTCTTTCATGGGCAAATGACATTTAGAGGCATGTTGGTACTGGGGGGGCCCATTGCTCCTCAGTGCCTATTGACTGTAGACATTTTTAGTAGTTCAGACTGGAAAAAAAGTTTAAAAACGAAAAATAATTGCATACTGTATTCCTGATTCCTCGTTCTTGGATAGGGAGGTAAAATCCTAACAGGGAACTGTACTGTGTGTGTGTGTGTGTGTGTGTGTGTGTGTGTGTGTCTGTGTGTGTGTGTGTTTTCCCTCTGAAGCTAGTATGAGGAGACTTCTAGGTTGTAAGTGTTGAGTATTTGTTAAATCTAGACTGTAATGGCTTCTTTCTTCTCTAGGTGTGCTTGCTCAGAACCCTGTCTGGTAAGGAGGGAGACATACAAGAGGAAGAATGGCTGCAGGATTGCTGACAACATGGTCACAGGTATAGAGGAAATTACTCTGTTTCCAAAAAACATTGCTGTTCCAAAGGACACATCTCTTGCCCCTGACCTACAGCTTCAACTGAACTGGCCTCAGGCTTCCCCAGTTCTCTGGGCCTCTTAAAACGAGACAAAAAAATGCCTTAGGAAAGGTTTCTATTACTACAACATTTGTTAATTTCTTTTTTCCCAGATCTTCCTCCAGGTTGAATATTAGTTCCATATTCTGCTGGGTGCTATGCAGGACAAGGGAGATTTTTCATTAGGAAAATCATTCATTTTCCAAGTATTTTTCTCATCCAGCAGTACAGTCAATCTATACTCGATCTTGACTAAGACTGGAAGAGTCCTGGTGGTGCAAAGATCAGGTCAACTATATATTAGACAAGCTGGTAAAAGCATGAGTCTGGATGAGATGGTCTAGGCAGGGCGAGTGAAAGAAGAGAGTTCCAAGAACTGAGCCTCGGGGCAGGTAATGGGAGGCCTCCGAAGCACATGTGAGCCTGTTGTGTGCTGGTCTCCTTCCCCAGTGCTGGCAGCCTCCCCCACCATTCTTTTGCTACACTGTTAGAGATGGGCCTTGCCTGAGCCACAATCCTGTGTTTCAGGATTCAGTGACCTTTGAGGAGGTGGCGGTGGACTTCTCCCAGGAGGAGTGGGCACTGCTGGACCCTGCTCAGAAAATCCTGTACAGAGATGTGATGCTGGAGAACTACAGGAACCTGGCCTCCGTGGGTAAGATTGGCCTCATTCCTTCGTATTCTCATTTCTTCATGCAGCAGATGGTCCTTACTCACATATGTTCCAGGATATGTGAAAAGAATGACAATACATGGTAAACACAAAATGAATGGCCCCAGCCCTTGTGGGGCAGTCTCATGGCTTCCTGTAAAAGTGCACTGATTTCATCAAAAAAAAAAGTGCACTGATTTCATTTTCATTATTATTACAAGATTTAGGTAATTTGCAGTATGTGTCTGCTCTTGGGCTTGGATTTCGAGGGTCAGTTCCCTGTGGATAGGGCATACGTAGGTGTCTGTTTGGGGGATCTTGTAAAAGAGCTCAGATTTGATTCTTTGGTCACTCCTGAAGTTGTACTTGCCTGTCTTCAGAATCCCTAAATATCAAAGTATCGGAATCAGTTTCATGGACAGATTTCTTGTCTCTTTCACAGTTCCCCCACCTCACATGTCTTTCTCTATGAGCAGGGTATCCTCTCTGCAAACACAGTCTGATCATGGAGGTGGAGCAGGAAGTGCTGGGGACTGAGGAGGGGGCAGTTCTCCAAGGTGCCTGTACAGGTGAGCCCCAGGCAGAAAGGAGTCATTAAGGAGCAGGCATGGTGAGGGATGGTCCATTTGGGACTGTCAGTGTGTGGCAGAACCGGGCCATTATGTGAGCTTTCCATCTTTCACCATCTTGCCATTCATTCACATTTTTGTGTGGTCTCAGAGAAAAAGCTGTTTTAATTCCTCTTTCAATTTGACATTTCCTTGAATACATTTGTTCCATTTTCCCTACTTCGCTTTCAAGATAATACACTCTCCTATTATCTCAAACCTCCAGAATCCTTTCTAAGTAAAATACTTCCCATTTCCATTGCTTGTTCCTATCATTGGCATCTTCTCCCAGAGCCAAGTTCCTGGAACTGTCCCTCTGGTCACAGGTTACATCTTCTTGTTCACATTTCCTTTCCATATTTAATGTTACTGAAAACAAATCCATAGGGTGCCCACCTCCTTTTTTCTGTTATCCCTATTTTTTATCCCAATAGTTATAAAAATTTTCAATTTCAGACTGGGATATTCAACTGAAATCAAAAGATGGAATTCTTATGCAGAATGTTCCTGGGGAAAAAACTTGCAATGGCATAAAAACGGTAAGATTCACGAGGAATGATTTCTGATTTTTTTTACAGTAGGAGAAGTCTTTGAATGCTATTGCGTTAAAGCACCAGCTTCCAAATGAGGCAAGAGAGAGAGGCAGGTGGCATTCACTCACCAGAAAGCTGTCTCAGTAAAGTCTTCCTGAATCTCATAAAATTAGAGAAATCTCTCAACCAAGCTCAACACTTGCTGCCCCACAGAGAACACCAAAAAGTAAACATTTATGTAAATGTGATTGATTCCAGTGTTAAGTGTTTAATACATAGTTAATTCATTCTTTACTCATTATTGGCAAAACTCTGTATTTAGGATGCCCTTTGTTAGGAATGATGGAGTCCTGGGTTAGAGCATTCAGTTGATCCAACTTGAAGGAACTAATAGGGAAAAAAAATCACATACATGCACTGAAAATAGTAAAAATGTCAGTCATAATCATGTACTTCCTATGTATGGCAGAATCCACACAGAAAAGAATTCCCATGAGTGTAAAGAAAGTGAGAAAGTCTTTAGTCACTACTTACTCCTTGTTCTACAGGCACCAACTCAACCTGGCAAGAAACCCTTGGAATTTGATCATTGTGGAAAATTCTTCAGAAAGAACTATCACTTTACACATACAAGATATTGTGAGGGAGAGAAATGCTACAAATATAAAGAATATGGGAAACACCTTGGCCACACCTCAGCTCTTAGCAGTCATGTAAGTACTCACAGTGGAGAGAAAACTCGTGAGTTTAATGATTGTGGCAAAACTTTCAATCAAGAGGCATCCCTTAGGAAACACTTAAGGACTCTCAAAGGAGAGAAATTTCATGCGTGTAATCAATGTCTTATGTCCTTCAGCTTACACCCTTCCTTTTCAGTACATGTGCAAGTACCTACTGGAGAGGAACTCTGTGAATGCTGTGATCATGGAGAAAGAGCCTCCCTTGGTGTCCACAAAACAACATGTACCATGGAGGAAAGCTCAGAATGTAAGGAGCATGGGAAAGCGTTCGCCAGCTCCTCGTCCCTTCACAAATGTGGGAGACATGCTGGAGAGAAGCCTTATGAATGTAGTGACTGTGGGAAAGCCTTCATTTTTCAGTCTTCCCTTAAGAAGCATGTGAGATCTCACACTGGAGAGAAACCTTATGAGTGTAATCACTGCGGAAAATCCTTCAGCCAGAGCTCTCATCTTAATGTGCACAAAAGGACTCACACTGGAGAGAAACCCTACGACTGTAAGGAATGTGGCAAGGCTTTCACTGTTCCTTCATCCCTTCAGAAGCATATGAGAACCCACACTGGAGAGAAGCCCTATGAATGCAGTGACTGTGGGAAAGCCTTCATCGATCAATCATCCCTTAAGAAACACACACGGTCTCACACTGGAGAGAAACCTTACGAGTGTAGTCAGTGTGGAAAATCCTTCAGCACAGGCTCTTACCTCATTGTGCACAAGAGAACTCATACTGGAGAGAAAACCTATGAGTGTAAAGAATGTGGGAAGGCCTTTAGGAATTCCTCCTGCCTAAGGGTACACGTGAGAACTCACACGGGAGAGAAGCCTTATCAATGCGTTCAGTGTGGAAAGGCATTCAGCACCAGCACTAACCTTATAATGCACAAGCGAATACATACTGGGCAGAAAGTATGAGTGAAATGACTATAAGAAAGCCTTTATTGGGCCTTTACACCTCATTCCTCATTTTAGAACTCACACTGGAGAGCAGCCCTGTTGTGACCCATGTAGAAAGCCCAGGCACGATTCTTGACTTAAGCTATACTGGGACCAATCTTAACGAATATTATCCTTCTGTGATTGTCTTTTATCAGTGAGTGTCTCATCCTGAAAGTGTGACAACATGTTAACTGATGAGGATTAAAGGTTATATGGCACTCTAAATTCTCCTTAACCTACATCACAAAAATTTTGATAAATAATGTTTTCATCATAATTTAGTACTAAATGTCCAATTCTCATCAAGATGTCTTGGACCTATATGTTATTTAGAAATGTATTTTATAATGTGCAGACTCTGCATATTTTAGTTATTTTTTATAGATTTCTAACTGGATTATACACAAATGCGTGGTCTTCATGATACCGATTCTGTATGACATTATTCAAACAGAAAATTGTTGGAGACTTGCCGTGTGGCCCAATGTGTCAGATACAACAAGTATCCCCGGATCCATTCCTCCCTCCCTTTCCTAAAGTAACAGAACTACAGTTGTATTCAAGTTGGCAGTGTGGACAGTTTTTTAAGGAACTCTCTCAACTTTCTTTGTCGCCATGAGTGCCCATGAGCCCTTGGTTCTGGCCAGTGAGACATAGGCAGAGGTCACTGCTTGTGGGTTCTAAAAAAGCCCATGGCAATGGGAGTATCTCAGCTGGCATCTTCACCATTTGCCCTGTGTTTCATCTCTTTTTCTTTCCTAGAAAATAGACCAAGAGGATGATAGTCAGAGGCTACTGATTATACAACAGGGACATACAGTATTATTTGGTTGTACCAACCTTGGGTTGGTTATTTCTGGGCTTCATCTAACCCAAGAAAAATAAACTCCTAACTGATGTAAACCATCTGGAGGGAAGCTTCTGTTACAAGGGATTTCAGTTAGCTGATAACATCTCATATGTGGTCAAGTTTTATGAATCCCTTTAAGTGTGGTTGAAAACAATGCCTATTCTGTAATTGTATAGTCAGTGTGTCTGACAGATGAATCTTTTGTGTTTTTAAAATTTGTATCATTACAGACCTTCTCTCCTCGTTTGCCCTCTATTGAGAGAGGTATGTTAAATGTGTCACTATCACTGTGGGTAGTCGGATTGTTTTTTTAAGTTCTGTCTCACTTTGAGGCACTATAGCTAGATGCATACAATGTCATTTTATATTTCTTTTTTTAAAGATTTTGTTTTTATCTATTTATTAAAGAGAGAGAGCACAAGAAGGGTGAGGGGCAAGGGGAGAAGCAGGGTCTCTGCTGAGGAGGGAACCTGATGTGGGGCTTGATCCCAGGACGCTGGGATCATGACCTAAGCCGAAGGCAGACACTTAACCAACTGAGCCACCCAGGCACCCCTGTCTTTTCATTCTTATATAGTGCCCATTTTTCTTCCCTAATAATGTTACAATTCACTTGGTATAAATGTAAACTATTGACCTGACCTTTAACATTTTCTCCTTACCAGTATGTAAGGACAATCAGAAACAACTTACCTCTCTCCTCAGCACTATGTGGTGGTGTTCCCTGCAACACCAAGGGGGATCTCCTCAGCCACTACATCTCCTGTGGGAGACAGAGAACAGGAGGTCCTTAGCAGCCTTCCCTGCCAAGACAGCAGCAGCCTTCACATATGTTTCTGTTGTTCCTTGCTTCACTTCTGTGGTGATTTGTTCCCCTGCCTACCTGGTTTCATGTTTCATGGAAAAGGGGAAAGGGTAAGAACATTTTTCCCTGCTCTCCCTAGGAAACCTCAGGAGGTTTCTCAACTCAAACCAGTTTGTAAATCTCCTGGTCAATGTGCATGGGCTCTCAAGTGCCACTGCCTATCAACATGTAAGAGCATCTTGAAAACCAAATGTTATAAAATTGGGATTTCCCCATATTGCTCTTTTGGAGAGACTCCAGTCCCTCTGAGGTTGAAAGGGACAGTTTAGAAAGGGAGGCCACTTCACATAGCAAAGGTCCACTCAGGACTCAGTAGTTTATAGGTAAGTACCTAAAGAAAAAAAAAATGGGGAAAGATGAAAGACCAAAAGAAAAAAAGTATAGCTGCAGGGGCTTTATGTGGCTACAAGTAATCCCTCCTTTCCCAAAGAGCGGGAACTTTAAATCGTCTGTACCAAGTAACTGTCAGGTCTAAGAAACATAATGTTAGTCTTCAATTGCTTACTAATTTAAAAACAACAATGAAAAATAAATCCATAGATACAGGGGAGAAAATAAAAGGTAAAGTAAGTTATATACATTTGTAACATTTAATATAGATATATATATGTAAATTATAAAATGCACACAAAACTAAATTAAAACAAAGATCCATAATTTGAACCAATTGAAAACCTAGTTTATAAAAGTTTATATATTAAAAACTTACATAACAAGTTTTATATGTAATTATACATAACAAATATGTAACAAAAGTTATATATTAAAAATTTACATATCAAAAAGATAAAAGGGGCACTAAGACTTTTGAGCCTTCACAATGTGAGTTCTAAATTAAACATAACATTGCTAAAATATACTAATTGACAAGGCTTCATAAATTGTAATCAATACTAGGGCTCAAGTGATAGTTATACCTGGGGACCCCACTAAATTTAAACATCATTTCTCCTATAATCATAAAAAATAATTTAGAAGAAAATAGGTGTACCTCACTGCAATTGTAGTCGTGTCTAAATTTCCCATAGTTATTGTACCCATTGCCCTAAAATATCCCATCTTAAGCATAGATGCCCTGACAATGATGAAAAATAAATAAAGGTCTTTGGCTTTATTCCTTGATAAAATGTGATTCCATGGACACTTAGTTAAAATAATTAATATGGCTCAATATGTGTTAAAACTGGCCTAAGTTTTAAAACTTATTATATAAACATAACTAATAAAGAGGTGCTTATTTCTATGGCTTCTCCACTTAATAATTCAATTTTGCCTATTTCAAAACTTGAGAATAAATAAATAACTATATCTTTTGGTTGTTAACTGAGTAAAGAGCAGTTAAGAGTTCCTAGACTGTGCGAATGGCACTGCTAGCCATATGTGATGAAGCACTGGAATGTTACTGCTTTCTCTTACTTTAAACAAAAACAAATGGATCAAAGTCAACCATTAAGACAAAACTGCAAAATTCCTAGAAGAAAGCATAGGAGGAAAGCTTCTTGACATTGAATTTGGCAATGGTTTCTTATATTTGATACCAAAAGCAATTTGCAATCAAAGAAAAAATAAATTGTAGTTTATCAAAATTAAGATCTTTGGTACTTCACAGGTCAATCATCAACATTTAAATACTTTTGTACTCCAAAGGACACATCAAGAAAGTGAAAGACAACCCATGGAATGGGAGAAAATATTTGCAATTGATATATGCAAAAAGTAACTTCTATACAGAATATATAAAGAATTCTTACTACTCAACAATAAAAGACAATCCAATTTTAAAATAGACAAGAGATTGGAAGAGACATTTCTCCAAGGACATAACAAATAGTAACAAATACATGAAAAGATACCACTAGTCATCAGCATCACTGGTCAGTAGAAAAATGACCCAAATCACAAGGAGATACCACTTCTCACCACTTAGGATAGCTAATATGTAAAAACAAAAATTAACAAGTGACATTGGGAAATAGGAACTCATACACTGATGGATAGAATGTAAAATGGTGCAGCCACTTTGGAAAACAGTCTGGTAGTCCTTCAAATATATAGTTACTATATGACCCAGCAATTCCACTCCTAGGTAGATACCTATGGTAATTTTATGTGTCAACTAGACTGTGTCATGAAATACCCAGATATCTCATTAAATGTCATTTCTGGTGGTGTCTGTGAGCATGTTTCAGGAGATTCACATTTGAATCAATAGACTGAGCATAGCATATCACCCTCCCCAACATGGGTGGACATCATCCCATCCGATTTAGGGTCTGAATGAATCAAAAAAGCAGAGGATGACTGAATTCTCATTTTCTGTCTGATTGTTGAACTGGGATAGTGATCTTCTGCTTTTGGTGCTCCTGGTTTTCGGGCTTTGAAATAGGGACTGAAATCTATCCCGTGGGCAGCCTGGCTCTCAGGTGTTTGAATGGCACCACCTACTTTCATAGGTCTCTCGATTGGGGTGGTATATTGTGAGACTTTTCAGCCTTCATAGTTAAATAAGTAGTTCCTTACATAAAAGTCATGTATGCATATAATGAGTACATATAATGTATATTATGTCCATTGTGTGTATATATAATAGATCTTTCTGAGCTCACCATAAAAAGTTAAGGGCTGTAGGTTCTATTTTTCTGGAGAATTGACTAATAATACCCAGGATAAATTAAAATATGTCTGCACACACACAAAAATATGTGAATGTTCAGAGCAGCATAACTCATAATACCCACAAAATGTTAACAACCCAAATGTGAATCAACTGATAGATACGTAAATAACATGTGGTATATCCATAGGATGGAATAGCAGTCAGCAATAAAAAAGAATGATAAGCACTACAACACATATGAACCTTGAAAACATGCTAAGTGAAAAGAAGCTATTGGCAAAGGATTTTGTGATTTCATTTACATGAAATGTCCAGAAAAGGCAAATCTATAGTGTCAGAAAGTACATTCATGGTTACCTACACGTTAAGAGAGGAGGAAAATGGGATTATGACAGCCAAAGGGTACTTTTGGAGTGACAAAAAAAAGTTCTAAAATTGTGCTAGTTGCACAACTCTGGAATTTAATTTTAAAAAAATTGAATGTTAAAGTTTCAAATGCACAAATTGTAGGTTATGTGAATTATAGCTCAAAGCTGTTCCAAAAAACAAAAAAAATCATGGTATAGCTGCATCATTAGAAGCATAAAAACTTTCTTGTCTCTGAAGCAACTAGAGCAGTAAGGTGCAACATATATTAG